AAAATCAAATTTTTCACTCATATACATTGAAAAACATCTTTAAAAATCAGAGATTGCTCGTTTACTGCTGATTAGGCCTGAGCTATGCTGAAATTGCTAACTCAGGCGCCTGAATCGACGCAAGTGAAGCGCTTCAACGTGCATGCACACTCGCGCTCGCGTTCGCGCATGCGCAGTGTATTGGCAGCTTTTCATCTCTGTTTCTGTGCAGTTGAACTGCATGTAATGAGAGAGAGACGAAGCAACACACATCGTGCAGTCGCCGAACGTGTGTGCACGTTTTCAAATTTCAACGGCGAAACAAACGACTGTCGCTGTGTTTAAAATGTAAACAAACCAATAACAAGAATTCGGTGTATCTCTGTCTCATGAACGCAATAAATAAGGCCTAAATTTCGAACACAACAAATGAATTTCAACAAAACGATTTATTTAAACGAATTTACTTCTTTATAACTTCAATGTTATGAAAATCAAATGGAATTGAATCTCTATATTTCAGTTTTTATTTCACGATCAATTAAAACTAAAAATCGAACAAGAAAGTGAGCATCTTAGCTTTGAAATTTCAAAGCGACCATTACGGATTTGTTCACAACCGATTCGGATCAATCGCTCAAAAGCAGCCAAACGCTCTTCACTTTGATCGCTATTTGACACACGAAACTGGAACAAGTCTGAAAAAAATGTATGAACATTTTTCAATGTGTACTCTGTACAATCTTCTCAACAAATCGAAATATACCTTTTATGAAGTCAAGAATTCCATCATCGAATGTCGATGATTCTTTGATACCTTTGACTGTGCACAGACCAATTAATAAACCTTTTAAGAACACGATATCGACGTTGATACTATCCCGATTGGATGTGTTCAATTGTGTCAAACCATTGACAAGTCGAACCGGCAACAAAAAATGTTTAAATTGACGCCCAACCAGAAATTTGAACGAACGATCACCGCTGGCCTTAATTGGAAGATAATTAAAGATTAAAATATCTTTAAAATGAGAATAATTTTTGTTCTCACATTTGTTTTAAATGGGATATTATCTGATAGAATATCATGCGCTTTAACTTCGTATCCATCCATTTCAATGATTGGCCGAAAATCATTCAACGATTCAAATGTACATTCAATGTCATCATCACTCGTATCATTTTCGCTGTTTTCTTCGTTTGGTGGGTCGTTCATTGGGTCAATAAACTCGGGGTTGTCTTCGGCAAATAAATTTTCTACAGCATTCAGATCTGCTTGTTCCATTGCAACTTGTTGAAATTGTTCAACTTTCACCGCATCCAATGCAAAGTTTTGTTCTGACATTTCGTAATTATCTTCAATTTGGGAATTTTCATTCAATTCATCATAAACATTGTCGTCTTCATCGTTAGCCACTTCTTCTGGTTCAATATCCATTACCGCTGGAATTGGTGGCTCATTCACACGCAATGGATTGTATATTGGTGGCATGAAACATCGCAGTCGTTCGGTGTGTGCAACAGCATCATCAAAACGGTCTAAAACATATTTTTTTTCATATTTGAAAGCCAAAAAAATGAATGTTTTTCAGCGTTTTATCCTTACCCCAAAATTTTTTCAACCGTGCAATAAAACAAGTTTCCAACATGTCGTCTGGCAATGGATAATCACCAGTAATCGGAAGATTGAAATTGGGCTCAAACTCATTTTCATCGACCATTTCGTGATTTTCAAGTGCGTTTTGCACTTCACTTGAGAAAAAAATGCGCCGATTCTGATTTGTATTTATTCCATGGTTGCACAAATTCATTTGATTCAATTCGTACACAAATTTCTGTGGGATCACTATGTGTTTCCCTGGCTCAACTAGAAATACAGTAACGAACATGGCGTGACGATTTCCAAATAGAAAAATAATTTATTTAGGACAAAATGACCGTTTGGTATAAATTTATTTGCACAATGTCCTGTATTAACGCACACTGCTTGCTTATGTAAACTGAGACCGTGAACCGTATATGCTTTATGTCAGTGCGTTTACGTATTGTAAACAGAATACTACTACACATAAATGCTTCTGAATACACTTGCTTTAAAATCGTGTAAAGGGTTGAAATTTTTAAAAATTCAATCGATCTATTTTCCTTCATTTTATAGAAAATACATTATAAATTAAAACCAGATTTGCTCTATTTTAGTTTTTAATTTCATGCACATTTTAAAAAATAATACTAGACTGCAACAGCTTTATAGTCCTATTGTCATTTGAGCCTATTGTTTATAGTTTGAAAAATAAGAGTGTATGCGTTTGTAGTGTACATTCGCAACAAAATGCGAAGGCGCCAACGCGTCTAGCGTCTCTGTTTTCTTAGCGCTTATTCAATTAGTCGCAGTTGAACGCATCTAAAGTCCGTATCTATGTTTGGAAACTTGATCGCATAAATTTGAATTTCAACGGATATTTTTTTTGACACATCAGTATGTAAATTGTTATACAAAATGGAAAGTCCTATGAAACCGAAGAGAATTAACGTAACTCAAAAGTCGATAAAACATTTTGACTATGTCGGTAATGTTCATGGTAAGGAAATGTATAAGTGCAAGTCTTGCAGCGTTGATGTCAATGGAACGAAAAAGTGGAATTTGTCATCACACTTGAAAATACATTCAGAGGTGTATAAGGATGTGACTAATTTGGATAAATCGATCGAGTACAAACGAATGGAATTTTTGCTGAAATGTGTTCATCTCGTTACAATTAACGGCCGACCTTTCAAAAGTTTGAATGATTCCGGTATCCTTCTGATGAATGAGGCAATACTGGAAGAACTGAGAGCAGCTGGGAGACAAGTCAATTTGCATAATGAACATTTGCATTAAGTCAAAGAGGTTTTGCAAAATGTAGCTGAAAAGGTTCGCCATAAAATAGCAAAAGAAGCCAAAAATCGTCCCATTTCTCTTTTATTGGATATTGTGACGAAACGTGGGCGTTCAATTCTCGGTGCAAGCATTCAGTACATTGTTGACAACAAAGTGACAATTCGTTCAATTGGAATGATCGATTTAAAGGAGAGCCACACTGCAATTTACCTTGCTGAAGTCACAATGAAACGATTGAAAGAACTTGGCATTAATCTCACACAAATTATCTCCATAACAACGGATAATGGGAAAAATGTGCTGAAAATGGTGAGAGACTTGGAAGAGCATCTCCAAAAGTCTGTTGATGATTCAAAAAATAATCAAAATCCGTTGACTATGACACCATCCAAGTCAAAACAACAAAGTAATTCCGATGCCAATGCCGACGAAATTGATCATGAAATCGAATGTGTTCTCGGTGAGCCAGACATTTCGGATGATACCGCACTTGAGCTTCTATTCAGTGAATACATTGATCCGACTGAAGAGCCAACCGAAATGGAATTGACTGCAAATCAAACTCTGTTGAATGTTATGTCATCGAACTTATCAAGTATTCATGATTTGAATGTGATGTGGGACATAACGGGTGTAAACTGCTCAGCACATACGTTGCAGCTGGTCACAAATGATGCAATCGGTGCAATGGAGGACAAACATCGAAACGTAATTGAGTTGTGTCGACGTGTAGCCAAGTTTTTGCGGAAAGAATCGACCATCATCACCTTAAAAAATACGGAAAATGCTTACGAGAAGAAGCCGCGTTTGGATGTTAGTACTCGGTGGTGTTCAACATACTTTATGGTGAGTGAAAACATAAAAAATATCAATTTATGCAAAGAAAACCATAAAAAAAGTTTTTCATAATTGCATACAGATTTTTCATATTTAGTGCGCTCTTTACACTTATTTGTTACAGATGGATGATGTGCATGCATGCAAAAAGGCGATCGAATTCCTCGCAGAAAAATATGCCAGGAATAAAAAATTGAAAATGTTCAAACTACTGCTGAAAAAGTGGAACACGTTACGAGAGCTCATCGTAGTTTTGCAAGTTCCATACAAAGCGACAGTGGCCCTTCAAAATCATCGCATCACTCTGTCGGACGCATTCGGAATATGGCTTAAAATTGACATTCATTTGTCACTGTTGTGCAATAAAAAATCATATAAAACCAATCTAGCAAGATTCATGCTTGAATCTTATCGAAATCGAAAAGACGTTATTTTCAATAACCCAGCGATGATCTGTGCATTGTATATGGACCCGCGTTTTCGTGGAGAAATTATACGCAACCAAGAAAAGAATGAACAGGCAAAACGTTTATTGTCCAACTTGTGGCGTCGCATTCGAGCAGTTGAAGCACAAGGAATGACAGAATCGTCAGAAGATCAAACGATTGTGGTGGATGAATCGACGGAAAATTGTTCGGGAGAATCATCCGATTTGAACATGAGTATTGATTTTGATAATCCAGCTCTGTTGAATAATTATTTGGCTCGCAATCAAACACAACAACTTGGAATGACTCAGTCCGACTCAGCACCGATACTGCAACATCGTGGCGATATCGATGACATGGAAATGCAAATTGAATTATTCGATCCACCTCATCTCGACTCAGAAGCGAAAATCCTGCATTATTGGGCCAACGAAAAAGAAAAAAACGAGAATATGCATCAATTGGCAATGGTGGTATTTGCGATACCCCCAACGGAGGTGCAGATTGAACGTGATTTCTCGCGGTTGGAGCATATTTTTAGCAATCGTCGATACAATTTGTCTCCAAATTTGGTTGATGATATTCTCTTGATTCATTTAAATAAACAATTATTTGATATGGTAGTAGAAGAAGAGAAAATGAATTGCTTAAGTCAGCTTGAAAGTGAGATTGACAACTGATTAAATTGAAAAGTACGATTGCATTGAGAAATTTTGTTGCTACATTGAAGTTGAAATGAAATAAATCCGTTTAAATAAAATCGTTTTGTTGAAATTCATTTGTTGTGCTCGAAATTTAGGCCTTATTTATTGCGTTCATGAGACAGAGATACACCGAATTCTTGTTATTGGTTTGTTTACATTTTAAACACAGCGACAGTCGTTTGTTTCGCCGTTGAAATTTGAAAACGTGCACACACACAAAAATATATTATATACAGAGCGGCGACTCATTGTATTACATGCACATAACGCTCCGTCTCTGTTTATGTGCATTTTAAATACGTGCAGCCAAAGCAAGACCGAGCGATATATATGCGAACACATAAACGCGCAACATCGTCGGCGACTGCACGATGTGTGTTGCTTCGTCTCTCTCTCATTACATGCAGCTCAACTGCACAGAAACAGAGATGGAAAGCTGCCTATACACTGCGCATGCGCGAACGCGAGCGCGAGTGTGCATGCACGTTGAAGCGCTTCACTTGCGTCGATTCAGGCGCCTGAGTTAGTAATTTCAGCATAGCTCAGGCCTAATCAGCAGTAAACGAGCAATCTCTGTTAAAAATTACTCAAACATTGGTACAGATAATATAAGCTTGAATGTACTGTTTTTTTTAATATTTGAGTGGAAATAAATTCATTTTCTTGGAAAAAATTTGGTTTTTGGACCAATTTTTGGTGGTTTGGTGAACATTGAGTCATGACAAATATAAATATATATCATGACAGATGATATATTTCAGTTCAAGCGGTATGGCATTTTAAAGCTGATGTTCTTAGCTGAAAAATAAGGCTAATGCCACATGCCTGTGACGTCTGGTTGGGCACTTATGGCTGCTCAAGTGATAATTAGTGCCAAAATAGTGCAAAAAGTCGACATGTCATCACTTGGGGAGCCATAACTTTGCAACTGGACATCATAGGTGGATCGTATTGGCCTTATTGTTTAGCTGTGAACATAAGCTTTAATATAGCATACATTAAAAACTGAAATATGGCTGTTATCATGACTTCATTTGGCCAAATGTCCAACAAACGCTCAAAAATCGGTTCAAAACTCGAAATTTCCCTTCAAATTAGGGTTTAAAAACGCGTTATTTTTTTCAGTGTTTCTTAAAAACGTTTTTTTACAGAGCCGTTATATACCGCCCAAAAAACGTTTTTTTCGTTTTTTATCGTTATTTCTGCGGTATTTTGGACTGTCAAAAAAAACACTACAGAAAAATAACGTTTTTATAACACCGTTTGCGGTATTTGTCGAAACGTTTGTAAACCCTACTTCAAATGAGTGATTTTTCCCACTAAACTAGCTTGAAAACGAGTTTAAGTTATCCGCAGAGACACTTTGCGAAAATAAAAGCGTAAAATATGGAAGGATATACTTCCATTATATTTGCATGTAATAGGCCAAAATTCACAACAAAATGACCATTTTTGGTACCAAAGAGTGATTTTGAGCCAAAAAGGTGATAGAACATGATTTTTCTGGGTTGGTATGTTGAGCAAAGTTGTCCAATTATACGTTGGCTACAAAATTGCTGAAAACAAAGGCCATAAAAATAGGATACGCTGCGAGTTATGGTTGAAAAATGGTAAAAAATGGGCACTT